ATTCATTTAATTTATCTTAGTGGTGCGTCAAACTAGATAGTAAATAGCAGTACCTTAGTGTTAAAATGCAGCGTTCTTCGTATGCGGAACTTGCGGATATGCATTTAATTTACGAAGAAGCTGGTGGTAACGGAAGACGACCCTGGCGAATCTACGCCTAACCGTTTCCAGAACGTCCTCATCCACATCACGCCATTTTTGCAAGGATTTATGGAGTTGAGGCAACCAAACTTTGGTCGCTACGTTTTGTTCACTGACGAGTCCTGTTTTACAAAGGACGGTTATTTTAACAGCCGTAACAGTCACATTTGGGATGAAGAAAACCCTCATGCCATAGCCATCCATAGAGACCAACATCAGTTTTCAATTAACATCTGGTGAGGCATTGTGGACGAGCATATCATCGGGCCATATTTGCTTCCACCACGTTTGGATGGGCATGCTTATGGTCGATTCTTACAGCATGTGCTACCGGAGCTATTAGAAAATGTGCCACTGAACATAAGAGCCCACATGTGGTTTCAACACGATGGCGCTCCAGCCCACTTTTCTTTACAAGTGCGGCAGTATTTGGACGACAAATTTCCAAATAGGTGGATAGGCCGAGGTGGCCCTGTGCCTTGGCCTGCGCGGTCACCCGACCTGACCCCACTGGATTATTTTCTCTGGGGCCATCTGAAAGCTTTAGTGTACGAAACTCCTGTTCCCAACCAACAAGAGCTACTGGGAAGAGTGATGGCCGCGTCCGCACATGTTCAGGACATACCAGGGGTATGCCACAGAGTTCGCCGATCATTGAACAATCGTGCACAGCTGTGTATTGAGCAAGGTGGAGGACACTTTGAGCAATTACTGTAGGTAACCTGTTTCAAGAAACTGATCTTTTTTTTTTGTTGCAGCCCAAACGGCATATTTCCGAACAGGGGTTTATAAGGCAAAATTGTTTATTTTGATGCCCTCTACAACCCCTATTATTTTGTCGCAATAATTATGGAACACCCTGTATATCCTGTTTTAGAGGGAGAGATATTTCATAAGATCCATATTACTTCAAAAACGCTCTCTCATTCGCGGTGTAATAGTAAGATTGGATTTTGGTAATTAACTGATCACCTGCCAATACCAACTAATTAATTAATTGTCAATTCTACTGGTTCTTTCAATCACTGTTTATTCTCGTTTATTTGATGTATATGGTAGATAAGTTTACGGTCTACTGGAGATCTAATTGAAATGCAATGTAATAATTGTGAACAACTGCAGTGAGAGTTGTCTAACCATTATTTTACTGGAATACGAATCTAGATTTCTGTGAGATGTATGTATGTTCAAAACAGGTAATATTTAAACCTTCGTAATTATGTGAGGTTTCCCAACATACAGGCAGTTTATATACCACTGACGATAAAGTTAAGTACAAAACATGAGTAAACAATTTTCAGACAACGCCGTGGTTAGGTGTAAGTACTTCCCTGAAAATCTAAATACAATGCTTAATGCCAAACATACTAATTAATGTTTAGACACCCCTGGTTTAGTTACAGCTTCAGTTTTCATATTGCCTGTAGTGCCAGTACTGGATGTTCAAGGTCTTTCAGCTTTTTCCACTTTGGAGATATATTGTTCTCATGATTTTTAAAATTATGCATTCAACAGCATGTATTTCGAAAACGAGTAGCTGGAATGGACTCTTTATCTAAAAAACACCCGAGGAATGATCCTGTGGGGGTACTGGACACTCATTAAGAAACATCCTGTTCATAGGAAAGTTAGTTGTGATGTTCTGGCTGCTAGAGTCCAGATACTTTCGTAGACATTCAGTCGGCAGGGCCTCTGGCTAGCAAAGTGTTGTCCGCCCCTGCGAATATTTTTCATCTCCAACTGCAATGTGGTGCCAGAGGCCATTGGAACATACTCTGGCAGCTATCACTCTCACGACCCTGGCAGCAGACGGCACGACTTGGCCCGAGATACAACCACGAGACTGGCTTGCTTGGTGCCGTATTCTTGCAGCTCTCATTATATTACGAAACGGCGACTTTCGTGTTTGTTTAAAGCTAAAGCAATAATTACCTGCTAGCGCTATCATCTCCATCCTTCCTCGGACGAGCACAGCGTGTAATTTAATATTATGCTGTTTATTGATTATTTTCTTCGACAATTATTGACGGTATCAGCGACGGTGTGGTTATGGTTTGCGCCTATCCGGTTCACATCTCTATTTTCTCTGCTCGAACGACTCTGTATACTATTTTGTTGAAACGTTACGTGCATTATAGAGATTGGTCAAGAAAGTGGTCAAGTTAAAGGTCTCATTCGGAGGAAGGGAGGCGAAGACTATACAGGGTGTTTCCTAAACGTGTGACAAGGGCGTTTTCAACAATCTTCGCATGTCACTCATAAGCAACCATAATGAAGTCTAGCATTCTAGTTCAGAGCAGATATTTTCAGAGGCTTATGCTAAGAGTACAGATTTAACGTAGAAGGGTCACTCCAAAGAAAAAACAGTTTCTGACAAGGTATTAAAATTATATCTGGGGTATTTGGCTGGAAGCAAAATAGGTCGCCAGTCTTTCGATTATACAAGGCGATACAGGATGATTAGGCATTACATGAGCATGAACGTGGGAAGTGGGTTCCTGATGTTTGTCTGCCCTGCCAATGGTTTCAAGCAAATATTGTTATTCCAACGTATTTCGAATTCGAGGTCATCTGCCTTTTTCACAATTGAGCTCTGGTCGATCTGTAATCACTGAAGGACACCCTTTCAACACGTTTTTATACTTTATGAGTGTGCAGTGCCAAGGTAGATAAGTAGTAGTGAAAATCTCCAAGATAGTTCGAATTTTACAAAGTATGGATTCGGTAAGAAATCTTAAAACGATGAGCCGTAACGAGAACGACATTTTGATACAAGCTTGCTGTTATACTTTTGAGCAAGTTAAAGAGATTCTTATGTAATTTCTCTCAATTTGAAACTTTGTTTGCTCTGTGCTAGACACAAGGTCATTCCTTAGACTGTGTCTATGTGTTAAATAATACTGGAATAGTCAAAAAGCACCGCTTGCATGTTTGCCGTATGTGTATGTCTTGTGTTAGGGTGTTACCCTGTATACTAAAATACCTGAATTTTGACCTGTTGCGGCAGTTGTGGCATTGAATTAAAACGAGTTATTTGCTGATATCTGCTGTTTTGCATTTGGTGCGTGCTGTTACTCCCTTCGTAACAATCTCACCTAAGTTTTATACTAGATGGAAACCCATTATTCGTTCTGAAGTGTTTTGTTCCGAAGTTTCGCCCTTTTTGTGATTATAGCTGATACTGTTCGAAGTTCTGAACATGCTGCATTCGTCCGTCCGACCAAAGACAGCCAACCATCGACAGCTGTTTCGCATGTTTTTGCAACTCATCAGCATGGTCTAGGTTTGATCTCTAAGACAACGAACAAAAGCATGACAACTATTCCGTATCCGGGGTATGAGATCCATTGAAATAAAACAGCGCAAAGCGGCATCTATTACCGGAATCGGCCACTGCAAGAGCGTATAGCAGCTATTGGTTAACAGTCATCATTGTCACAACTAGAGGCCGACGATTCTCTCTCTCTCTCTCGATAGATGTGGTCTACTCTACAACTAAAAATGCTGAAATAAGATAGCGCATCTGTCTGCCACCTGGGTCTAGACCAGGCTGGTACTAAGACAACCAACAATGGACATACGCCTTCGAGACAATAAGCGAAAGCATATCTTCTGTCCGAGGTATAAGATTTATCGTAATAAGACAGCGCAAAGCGCCATCTGTTACTAGAATCGACCATTGCAAGATACAGCTGCCATACACCCTCGCACGAAACAGCTGACCATGGTAGGCTGCCTTTATTCAGACGGAAGGCAGCATCCTGTTAAGTTGTTTAATGGCAAGTAGACTAATCTCCTATACCGCCAGAATCGTCAGTTTCTCGCGGCAGTGGTGACTGGGCTATCAAACGCGAAATGAGAGTCTTTACTGTTCCAACCGGTGGCTGCTATCATGACTCACCTGAATAGGTTACAATCTTGCAGTGGTCGATTCTGGTGATAGATGGCGCTTTCCACTGTCTTATTTCGACAGCTGTAGCCATTTGATTCCAAAAGATTCTACTTGACGTTTACAACATTTCTGAAAATGGTCCGAGACTCTAGCTCTTTGCACGAGATGAGCATATGGAAATATACTGAATATGATCTTTTCGCAAAGCCTCAGTAGCGATTTAAAAGACTGTGAGTGATTATTGTATCGACAGATTTGGATCCGATTTGTAAACATTTGGCTTACCTAAATAAGGACACGAGCTAAATACTGACACACCTTTTCATCAGATCGTCTGTTGGAGGCATAGTAGGTGCCGCATTGGACCTCGCAGATTTCTTTGAAACACTATGGATCGTTACTGCAAGTATTTGGTATATGCGCTGTAACGAACTTTTGCTTATTTTGTTTGCAGGAAAGTCTCAACCTCAAGAACACTCTATGTAGTTCGAGATCCGAAGCTCAAAGTGTCCATCATAATCCATAGTACATGTATATTCCATTGTTTATAGCTAATATTCGTTTATAAAGAAAACCACTGAGAAACGTAATTTCAAGATCATCTACGACTTCGGGTAGATACTGTAAAAGGGTTGAAACACATTAATGTGCTGGCAAGCAGATTTTATAGGTGTCTAATAATGAGCTGGTGAGTGTGCTAAAACGCCATTTGCCTTCCGACTTGGTGCTGGGGCCACAATAATCTTGAGTGACAGCATAAACGATTAATTCATTATTAGATAGGAGTCACTCACCTAAGTGATACTCTGCATGCCCTTTTTTGTTTAGATTATCTCGAAGATATGCTTATTGCTCATACGTGCAGATTGGTGCTTTCTCTTCGGAACTATAACCAGGAAACTGTTTTTGGATTATTCGCGGATACAGTAAAAAATTTCACACATTCAATTTTTTTTTGTTGTTTCAGCAGCAGCACGATCAGTACATAGGCCCGGCGTACGACCCATCCCGCGACCTGTCGCCTACGCTGCCCCCCTCCTGCGACTCCTCCTCCATGGGGGATGCCGGCGACCCCAGTGGAGCCTCGGGGGGCAGCTCGTGCAGCACTCCCTCCAACAACAACCACCAGTCTTGCGCATCAGAGGTTAGTGTTCGCTCTGTCGGTTTAATGCAGAAGTATCTCACGTCCAAAAATTAAGTTTTACATAAGAAGAATTTTTATCGAGACATTTTAAATAGATCACACTGAAACTCTTGAAAATTTAACTTGCATCTCGTGTTGAAGGAAAACTATGAACATATGATACTTTAGTGTTCCAAATGTATCCCAACTTCAAAATCTGTAAATAACAACTAGCCTATGTTTCACTTTCGGTATTCTTTATGTATAAAGTAGCAATGGTGGGCAGATTTTGGTAAGTAGGCCACCTTTGACCCTTTTTACAAACCCTGAGTGTACCAACACTCTGATCTGTTGAACCTTCCTGATCTCCTAGTAAGATCAAGATAAACTAGTAATACAGCCAACCATGAATAACTTTGTCCATGGTTAGCCAATAGTATCTAGAGCTGCCCAGCTTTCGTTCATGCCAACCGAGACCAAGCCTACACGATACTGAAGAGTTGTCAGATAGAAAAGCTTTATTAGTAGTTTGTACAGTGGCGAGTATCCGTATGTACTGTAGGGCCAGAATCGGCGGCATCTAGCGGCCACAGTGGTGATCCGGCTGTGAATTGGCATACAGTTTAAGCAGACAGCTTGCAGTTTTCACTTTCGCAGTGGTCGATTCTGGTAATACATAAACGTGAGGATGTCCAATCCTTCTGCAAAGTAAGCAACTTCACCATCAAGCTCCATGGCCCCGAATACCTCAACCCTTAGACTGCAATATACGGGAAGTCGACCAGAGAGTGGTACACTGTCTCGCTCTCCTCCCAGCATAGTCGGATCTCTCCTCACCCTTAAAACGGATAAGTCTCTGTTCACTCTGCAGTGGCCGGTGAGAACCTCGACCGAAAGGTTGAGCGATTCTGTACCCCTGTCCTGTCACCAGCGCATCCGACGTTTGTCGAGGTCCGCTACGAACCACTTGGCCTGTCTTCAGTCACGTCTCCCTCTCTCTCTTGCCACGCTTGTTCCAGATCCGTACAGACCTATTTAATTAGTTCAGTATAGACCTAGCACCTGTTTAAGCTCAGTCTACACTCGGGACGGATGCAGGTGCTTCTGGCCCGCAGCCTAGCCAGGCGATCATCTCTCTATCGTTATCCCTTTGTGCATAAAAACCCGAAACTACCTACGCTGAGTTCAATCTTTCCAGACTAAAGCTACCAATCTGTGATGTAGAACAACCTTATTCCACTTAATACGTTATACGTGCAGGAGATGGAGATGTGCGGCAGTAAAAATACCAACGTGTTATCTAGTGAGCAATGGCGGTGAAACTCTTACTTTAGATGTTTTAGAGTTTTTGGTATGGTTAATCTGGTGACAGTGATCTTTAAATATATATTTTGGTATATAAGTCCTCGGGAATATGTTCCACGCTCAGTTGAAATGATACACATCCGCGGGGATATCTACATATTTACCAACATCATAGGGACATTTGTCGTTGCTTATCTCACTGTTCTCACACCAGTATATTGCTATATTCTACTATTTTTTGTGTTAAAAAGTACAAAAACAGGCAATTGGGTAGGTAGTCTCAGGTAACATATATTTACTGCGCAGGGATGAAACTACGGTACCGTACGCCTGGTTTATGTGATGCAGCATACGCCTGACTTGCAAATACCTCTCCCGCAGTTACCGTTCAATAAGTCAGATTTCTGCTACCGACATAGGTGACAGCGGTCTTTGTAAATAAACACCCTATCGTATTTTTATGAGTATCTAAATTGATGTGGTTTCACCCTTCTGCAGTAATACGTAGAAGATATTAAAAATTATAAGGTTCTTGTAACTCAACTACCCAACAGTTATGTTTCTGATGTATTTGAAATACTTCGGCAGATTGCATTCTAGCTGATTGTAATTGTTTTTATTTGATTTCGTAGAGTTGTGTTTCGTTTTTAGTTTCTGCTGATAATTAATCTCATTTCAGAATAAATTTTGTACTGATTCGCTAAAGTACAAAACCATCTCGGAGTACTCCAAGGAATTGTAAATCTTTGAGCAATGCTTTGGAAGTTCCCTGTACAACAAATACTATTTGTTCTAACAATATTTAAACTTAACACAATTTCCTCACTCTTCGAGCCAGTATAGTACGGTAATTGTAAGAATATGTGCAGGTATATTGCATAGTGTTCAGCTTATCCGAAGAAACAGAAAGAAATCTACTTTTTCTGCTGTAGATTTTATCGGAGAATTTAAATTTCTGTCTAACTTCCACTTGCATTCCTCGCTACATTATTCATCTCATACAATCAATTTTTGCAGATGTGTCGACAACAGCATCCTCCCGGCGTCATGCCCTTGCCCCTTCAACGACCGCCTACTCCCCACTCCTCCTTCGAGCACCACATACCAAAGCTAGAATCTCCATCAACACCGCCCAATCGACCGCCCGCTTCCAGATCAGCGGGTGTGAGACTATCTGATGATGGAGGCGGAACTACGCACGGAGTGGGCGGAGCTACGCACGGCATCGGCGGACCAACGCTTTGCGGAGGCTGCGGACAACGAATCACGGACCGGTTCTACTTGCAGGCGGTGGACAGACGGTGGCATACCGCATGCTTACAGTGCTGCCAGTGTCGGAGGACGCTGGATGGGGATCTCACCTGTTTCTCCAGGGAAGGGAATATCTACTGTAAACAAGATTACTATAGGTAGGTAGAAAAAGTTTATAACTGAATTTTTCACCATCTAAGCTTGCTACTCAATACGTGAATTAATCCCGAGGCAGAGTTTTGCTTTGATTTGCCTCAGTGGATGTGAAATCACAAACATAAATCTACATGAGTTATTAGAACATATCAACCGACTCCTAAGGAGTTTTCTCTGATAATATTTGTACTACCAAATCAATAGTTGAGTCTTTTTATCATATCTCATAGCCATACATCTATGTTGTCGTTATTGGATTGCACAACTTCACTGTCTCCTTACTCAGAAACTTAGGCGTCTCGTGTAAGCGCTACTTCAGAAGGTGTAGCTGATAGTTGGCTATAATCACCATTGAACAGTTTTTGTTGCAACAACAGGTTTTATCTGAGCTCGTTTGCAGACTAAAGATGTCATACAAAAATTAGTTGAGTCAGGCATTACTACTAAAAATCGATCAACATAATATTTAGAGAAAAATAATAATACTAATAATAATAATAGATGGCCTTTATTTCGTACAGAAAAGGCGAGGTTTCGCTAAGAGCAGCGTTTTTTAACTTAACCTTTGAAGAAAAACAAAATGTGGCGCGACAGATACCGTTCAGTATGTATTTGAGTCAATATTCTACATGGGCTTAAACAATGTATCTCCAGGAGCATTACTGTCTGCCGATCATTCCATCAATAACCTAACACCATTGTTTCTTAAGCAAAGACCATTCTAAATACTGATACCTTATAGACATCGGATACATACAAAGGTAGGTTCATCAAACTACCCGTGGAATTCACTTGATGACAGGTCAGATCGTCTAGTATATTCGTCATTGTCTGTCAGAGCGGTCCGTGGGACCTTTGCTCTTAGTTGAAGTCTTGTAAGTCAGTAGGTCTGTCAGGTCTGGTACAGGTCAGATCGTTTTATTTACGAAGAATAATAATGCGAAAATATCTGAATCGCTTAGGGCCGTATCGTCAGTCGTTCCTACAATTGGAGGACTCCTTTATGGCTTCCTTGATTTTCGTAGTTTTATAGTGTTCCGTGTCAGCGCTTTATTTTGAGAGTATGTTACAAAGATCTATTTGCATCATGCATGATTTATACCATCTGTTATACCAGCCTGAGATCTCCTACAATTCAGAAAGAAAACATAGCCTCACAATAGGAGACCGTTGACGCTGACACGGAACAGTAGAAATCTAGAAATAGCCCAGCCGGTCTGAATGAGAGAAAAGGCTATGAAAATTAAGGAGGCCATAAAAGCGTCCTCCAATTGTAGGAACGACTGACGATACGGCGCTTAGAGGGGCATTCTAACTTGCTACTGACTTCTAGATGTCGATAACCATACATTTTCCGAGTAATTAGCATAGCTTAGAACAAGATAATAACTTGTAATAAGTAACAGGTAATAATAGTCATTCATTTTTACTTTTATGTACAAAATGTGACATGTTTAAGTCAATAAGTACCTGAAAACCGGATATGTTGGAATGAGCAATAAACTGAGTATGAGGTTACAAGGCAGACAACTTATGAAATTTTCCGTTGAGACTTCCATTAAAAACTGCGTTTTGCTTTCTTCTATTTAAAACTGCGAGCATATAATCTTTGGTATCGGTAAAGGCGGCGAGTATTTCTGCCAGGTCTGGATTTGAAGTCTGCTGCAGCAGCGCCTTGACAACGCTAACGACTCGGCAATTTTGAACTGATGTGTAAAACTACTAGTTTTGGTTTTGCTGTTGTTAAATGGAGAATACGGCACATAACAGACGGAAAAGGGTATGCAACGTAATTGGGTGAATTTACAGTATGTTACTCCATCGGCACTAAGTTATGTAATGGATAGTAATGTTATAGCGGAGGACATCGTAGAGAGAAATGATATTTAATTTCAACGTACTTGCACATTGAAACAGATCTCTATATCACAGGTTCATATTCAGCTGCTCACCCTTTCCATCTAGTATATTATAAGTCATGTCATCTTTGCTGGAACATATGCAGTGGCGTCGAAGTCAGAAACTATGCCGACCACCTATATTTCTGAACTTTGACCTTCAATAGATTAAGAACTGTTCAATATTGAGCTTTCTGTCTATGCGAACCTTTCACAACTTTTAACCAGGATTCATGATGCACAATATACTGCAAATTCAGCCAATTTCACTGTACGCCATTTATTCTTTGATAGCCAACATACACGATCAAGTAGTCCACTCACTCACGCAACAAGGACTGCGATTTCGCTTGGCCAAAACTCCACTGTACATTTAATATGAACCCTTAATGAAGGATATAGAGATATTTCTGTAGGGTCTTATTGGAGTCAACGGATATTGGTAACTGGTACAAGTTTCTTCCCTGTAGTAGCATACCATTTGAGAGTAGTGGCATATCATTTGAGAGGAGAAACACCAAGCCACAGATGCGCTGAGTTATTGCTGGTTTAATAACCATCCGGTGCTTATATAATTATATTAACAAACTGCATACTTTGCAGAATCCTCTTGTCGTCTGTTAAGTTCATTCACTGGAACCTATAACGCTTTTTACTGGAATACCACAGATAAATAGCTTGCCCTCTCGAACTGTTCACTCTAATACCTCATCCACCGCATTTTGCACCCTATCATGAACCAGACCTGCACAAGTCGACCGAGCGACCAAGGGAATGTTGTGAGCGTTAGACTTCACAGTTACTGGGGTAGGGGACATTCTGTGTAAAAAAATAATAATGAGCTTTTTAGTGTCCTTATGTCCTGTTTACCGCTAATTTTCATAAAAATTGCGAAAAAAGTATATTTATGTCATAGGAAGTGCTGCATTCGCTTCTTGTTGATTTCAGCCATTAGTTGATAGAATGCCTTGAATGCACCCCTACATCTCCTAAGCATCAAGCTCCGTCCTTCTATCATAGCTGAATATAGCCCTGAGTCCAAGCTCCTTAACATTCTGGGGATCCAAAGAGTTGGATCCAGAAACAGAACATGCGCCGAGGAGTCTACCCCATACCGCTCACACAAGGGTTCATCAGCCACCTTTATTAGATTCAGATGGCGCCTCATCGTGTTATAGTCGGACTACAGTCCCATCAACAACCTGAGGCTGGCTCTATCCAAACATCATCAAAAAAGCATCCGTGCTTACCACTGTGCCCTGCGATGAGCTCCCGCGCTGATGGAGATCTCTAGAGATGCTTCTCCATTTCTCAGAGTGTTATCTAGGAATATCCTCCATTTTCCTATCCAGAGCCTTCTTCCTTTGCAATACAAGGCTCGAAGTAATCTTGCAGGCACTTAGTGCCTCAATCGCAGCCCTCTCCGAAATGCGGGATATCCAAGCCATAATTGCATGGATTTCCCCCTGAAAAATAGTGGTGAGACAGAGATAGCCTAGTTCTGGGCTCAAAAACTCGCTTCCTTTCGATGGAATGCTATGAGTTCGACTTGACGGTTATTGGGCCAAGAGACATTCTGTGTAAAAAATTAAGGAATAAGTCGCCACAAATTCGAACCTTGACGAATACCGGCTGTAATGGGCCTTTTAGTTTCCTTATCTTCTGTTTACCGCTAATTATTCGAAAAAAATGCCAAAAAAAGTACATTTTTGTCATAAGAAGCGACTGCTTCTTTTGCTTCTTGTATATTCGAGTTAATTTCCATCTATTATTTGATAGAATGCCTTATTCTTGAAGCAAAATAGTGCTCGATTTCTACAATATTTTATGAATGTGCATAACAATAATTGTTTTGTGTAATACGCTTCATAACGTTTCAAGAGTCATACAATCTCCGACAGCTACCTTTTGACTATATATCTTGCATCTCATGAAATATTGATCATCTCAACCGTCCATGTTCTAATTCGATGTGGCACAAATAAGCACTTAGCACAAAAGTGAATAAAACTATAAATACTCCTCAGATCGAGCAAGCCGACTTGTTCAACTTGTTTTTTAATATATTAACACTTTTAATCAAGGCCAATGTTTTGCATATTGTAATATCACAACAAACACATACACACATACAGCTTGTTGTGTCTGAATGCTTGAGGTCAGAACAAGATCAACTTATCTGCAAACCGCGCCGAACTGATAAATTTTGTGATGTTTGATCTCATACGTAACCATTTGTTTTGATAAGTGGATTCTTTTTATTTTTATACAACCTTATGTAAGGCGCGTTATTCCTAACTTTATACATTCAGTGCGGAAGTGTGAACAAAAAGTACTATGATCTCCCAGAGTCACCACTATGTAAGCACCAATGGAGCCTGAAAGATAATGTTTGCGTGGAATTGGACACGTTACTTGAAATCAAGATCATTGCTGAATGTGCTCTAAGTGAAACGATTTAGCGTAGCCCAACTATATTTGAACCTCCTTAATATCCAGGAAATGACTGAAATGCATTAATACTCAAAAGCTTAACATGCGGATAACCCGTTGAATTTGGTGAATCTATATCATTGATCTTTGTTATTTTCCTCCTTTCAGTCAATGGAGAATGTATTTTTATGAAGTCTATAAGTTGGGCACTGGCTTAAAAATCTTTCTGAAGCTAGTGCTCTATTATTCGCAAAGGCGTTGTTTATCCGGCTACTTATCCTTATTGACAGTCTAAATGCTTACACTAGAACCGCCGTATAGTTTGTCAACAGCCTAATCTAACGAAGAACGGATAAACTTATTTATCCTTTATGACATAACATATTCCGTTTCGATTCGTCGACTGCAAGCATAATCAAGCAGAAACAATTCGAATCTTAGAATAAAATTATACTGATGTATTTCACAAATAGTGTTTTCTAATTTAATGAAAAAGGGATCCGCAAAACTCTTGTATCTCCAGATAATAGCCTTCCTCATTTACCCCAAGAATATTTGTTGTACAATCCATATTTCGCTTGTTATCTTGTAGTAAATAACTCATCAAATTCTTGAACTTATAAGTCGTGCTATGCTTGTGCCTTTATTATTCTGTTTTAAATAAGAGATGGGATGTGCAGAAGTATGTATATATGTTATTAAAATAAGTGAGGTACTATATTTTGTTGAACAATGGTGCTTTTCAGAAATGGCAAACTTTACTCCATGTAATCTTTCATACTCTAGGTACGAGTATAAACAAATTTTCATGCTTCACATATTACTGGAAACGTGAGCATATACTTGGTATTCTTATTGCCGTCGTTGGCTTAATAGA